ATAGCCATAGACAGTTAGTGAGTGTGTATGTGTGTGTGCAGTGGTTGGCGTGCATGGTATCCAGGGTGATCCGGAGTCGAGTTGCGTGTGAACTCAGTCGAACGTGTAAGTGAGGGCGCCCAGCGCCATAGCCAACTGAAGTGAACTTGGATTTGAGTTGATTTGCAAGCTACCATATCTCCGAGTTTGAGTTGGGTGCACAGCGCCAAGTTATTCTCATCTGTTGCATGCATGTTTGAGTGTAAATTTGCAAGACTGATTTCAGCTGGAGGGAGACAACAAAGCCATGTTTGCAGGGGTCCCCTGTCTAAGCCTTAGAAGTAGTGGTAGGTAGGTAGTGAAGGGGAATTGAAAGAATTTGAAAGATGATGAAAGATTTGAGAGAAGAATACAGCGTAGTTATAAAAAAAAACAAAAAAAACTTTAGCGCAGTTAAAACTTAAAATACAAAATAAATTTTTAATTTTAAAAAATAATTTTTCAATTTTTTTTTTCTTTTTTTTTGGCCCGGCCGGACAAGTGGTCCCGGGCCACTCTGGAAGCCTAGATATGCACCGAAAATTCGCAGAAGTCTCGCTATAGCTGCAGAGGACCAAGAGGCGAAGCGACTGGCTGTGGTCGTGGAGGAGAAAGAAGCAAAGGACCGGTCGACAGATGCACTTAAAAATGCAAGTGCATCCAAGTCTCTTTTCCTAACGCAGATTTTCGCTCTTGGTCAATTCCTGCCGAACCGGCGCAGCTGTAATTTGCCTGGCAACACCAGGCTTTTGCATCCAATAGGCTCGACCTGCGATTTTGTGGTGGGAAGACCGCCGCGCAGGGGGGAAAAAAAAAAAAAGAAAGGGAAACGCACTGGTCGTTTAATAACTCGACATGAAGAAGAAAAAAAATGCAAAAAAAAAAAAGGCCAGTCACTTTGGGTAGCCATCATTTTCAGTTTGGAGAAGACGTGAATTACCATAACAAGCAAGCGAAAGCAGGCAACCAAGGCTCAAAGCGCAGCAATTCGGACATCTCCGTCAAATCGCTGGAGACGAAGTGGTGGCCAGAGATAAGGCGACTCTTTTTTTTTCTTCTTTTTTTCTTTTTTTTATAGAAATGCTCCAATCTATTCGTGGGGAGCAGCACGTACTGGGAAACGGGCCTGCGTCCCCTATGACCATGCACAGAAAAAATTGAGATACCGGGGCCATTGCCCGGCTTCAGTATGGCAACTCACAAGTGGATCATTCTTCTTGTAGTTATCGCAGATCCAGTCTGCGAGATAAACGAGGAGCTGTCGTCCGAGGCTCTCATCCCCATGCATGTTCGCCACGTACTGCAACAAAGGACGAAACAAAACAAAATGAATGAAGGCAATGCAATCGTGTCCGGCAAGAAGCAGTCTGTGGAGAACGCAAAAAAAACTGAGGCGTATGACAAGCTTACAACTCCGCATACAAGCGATCGGGGAAAAACATTAAGCCCCTGTGAGGCCAGGAAGGGTCAAATAAACCTCAGAGGGGTACACATAGGGGTCTAAAATCACAAATGTTGAGCCCAGTTTAGTATACTGGTAGAAACTTGAAAGTTGAAAGCGGTACTTTTCTTCGCAGTTTAGACAAGTCAAACAAAAAGGTCAGCAATCAAAACTCTTACTACTCCAAAAAAAAAAAAAAAAAAAAACTCTTACACCCATACCTGACTTGAATTGGTGACAGATTCCCTGTTTAGCTTAAATCAGTTAACAACAACAAAAAAAAAGGACAGCATTCAACAGAAGTAAAAAGAAGAACTTGAAAAAACAAAAAGACAAAAGGAAAAGGAAAAAGGAGGGAAGAGGGAGGAGA